GGGGAGGAGGAGGAGGGGAGGAGGAGGAGGAGGAGGAGGAGGAGGGAGAGGAGGAGGAGGAGAAGGAGCAGCATCAGCAGCAGCAGCAGAAGAAGAGGTGAGGAGGAGGAGGGGGAGGAGGACGAGGAAGAGGAGGAACAGGAGCAGGAGGAGGAGGAAAAGGAGGAGGAACAGGAGGAGGAGGAGGAGTTGGAGGAGAAAGAGGAAGACGAGGAAGAGGAGAAGACTGACGAGGAGGAGGAGGAGGAGGAGGAAGGAGAAGTAGGAAGACGGCGAGGAGGAGGAGGAGGAAGATGAGGAAGAGGACGACGAGGAGGAGGAGGAGGAGGAGGAGGAAGAAGAACAGGCGGAGGAGGAGGAGGAGGAGGAGGAGAAGGAGAAGGAGGAAAAGGAGAAGGAGGAGGAGGAAGAGGAGGAGGAGGAGGAATTGATGGGAGGATGTCTCGAGCGAAACGCTGATGTTTCAACGAAAGTGATTAAACCACCTGGGTTTTTCAATATTCTCGCTTCTTGGGCCATCTTGGGGGTCATCCGAGATCGCTCCGAACATATGCCTTACAAGAGCTCTGTCGGCATTCCATGTTTTCAGAGGATGTCTCGGGCGAGACGCCCATGTTCGAGAATCCGAAACTTAGGCGAGCGATTTCGAGATCCCGATGTTTGGAGGATGTCCCGAGCGAAACGCCCATGTTTAGCAAAAGACGTCTTAAGATACGACCCCCAACTTCACGATTTTGGGAGGATGTCTCGAGCGAAACGCTCGTTTTTGAAACCTTTCCTGACATGAACGGGAAGCGCGTGAAAGGGAAGATTTACGCAAGAACTTGCAGCATCATCGCGATCAAATGTAGTATAGGCGAGCTCTCCGAACGCTCACAAGGGATACGTATGGACACGCGCCCCCCGAACGTTCACAAGCATATTCCTGAGTATCCTCACCACTCCTCCGCATGAGGAAGACGACGGCGAAGACGACGACCGGGGAAGAAGGGATAGGAGGAGGAGGAGGCGGAGGAGGAGGGGAGGAGGAGGAGGAGGAGCAGAAGAAGAGGTGAGAAGGAGGAGGGGGAGGAGGACGAGGAAGAGGAGGACGAGGAAGAGGAGGAACAGGAGCAGGAGGAGGACGAAATGGAGGAAGAACAGGAGGAGGAGGAGGAGGAGTTGGAGGAGAAAGAGGAGGAAGAGGAAGAGGAGAAGACCGACGAGGAGGAGGACGAGGAGGAGGAGGAGGAGGAGGAAGGAAAAGTAGGAAGAAGGCGAGGAGGAGGAGGAAAATGAGGAAGAGGACGAGGAGGAGCAGGAAGAGGAGGAGGAGGAAGAAGAACAGAAGGAGGAGGAGGAGGAGGAGGAGGAGGAGGAGGAGGAGAAGGAGAAGGAGGAAAAGGAGGAGGAGGAGGAGGAGGAAGAGGATGAGGAGGAAGAGGACATTTTGGGAGGATGTCTCGAGCGAAACGCTGATTTCTCAACGAAAGTGTGTAACACACATGGGTTTTTCAATATTTTCGCTTCTTGGGCAATCTTGGGGGTCATCCGAGATCGCTCCGAAAAGATGCCTTACAGGAGCTCTGTCGGCATCCCACTTTTTCGAGGATGTCTCTGGCGAAACGCCCATGTTCGAGGATCCGAAAATTAGGCGAGCGATTTCGAGATCCCGATGTTTGGAGGATGTCCCGAGCGAAACGCCCATTTTTAGCAAACGACGTCTTAAGATACGACCCCCAACTTCACGATTTTGGGAGGATGTCTCGAGCGAAACGCTCGTTTTCAAAATCCGCCCGCTCGAAACGGAACGCGAATCCCGCCACCACTCCCCCCCTGGACCCCCCACTTGATAAATGCTTTCCCCTCCGGGCCGGTATACAACGTCCATCGCGCGACTCTAAAGAGTCTAAGCGCGCTTCCCGTCATCCGCCAGGTGAAAACCAGAGGGCGATCCCGCCACCACTCCCCCCCTGGACCCCCCCACTTGATAAATGCTTTCCCCTCCGGGCCCGTATACAACGTCCATCGCACGACTCTAAAGAGTCTAAGCGCGCTTCCCGTCATCCGCCAGGTGCGAACGGAGAGCGAACCTTTCCTGACAAGAACGGGAAGCGCGTGAAAGGGAAGACTTACGCAAGAACTTGCAGCATCATCGCGATCAAATGAAGTATAGGCGAGCTCTCCGAACGCTCACAAGGGATACGTATGGACACGCGCCCCCGGAACGTTCACACGCATATTCCTGAGGATCCTCACCACTCCTCCGCATGAGGAAGACGACGGCGAAGACGACGACCAGGGAAGAAGGAGAGGAGGAGGAGGAGGAGGAGGAGGAGGAGGAGGAGGAGGGGGAGGAGGAGGAGGTGGAGGAGGAGGGGAGGAGGAGGAAGAGGGGAGGAGGAGGAGGAAAAGGAACAGCATCAGCAGCAGCAGCAGCAGAAGAAGAGGTGAGGAGGAGGAGGGGGAGGAGGACGAGCAAGAGGAGGAACAGGAGCAGGAGGAGGAGGAAAAGGAGGAGGAACAGGAGGAGGAGGAGGAGTTGGAGGAGAAAGAGGAGGAAAAGGAAGAGGAAAAGACCGACGAAGAGGAGGAGGAGGAGGAGGAGGAGGAGGAGGAAGGAGAAGTAGGAAGAAGGCGAGGAGGAGGAGGAAGATGAGGAGGAGGAAGAGGAGGAGGAGGAGGAGGAAGAACAGAAGGAGGAGGAGGAGGAGGAGAAGGAGGAGAAGGAGGAAAACAAGGAGGAGGAAGAGAAGGAGGAGGAGGAGGAGGAAAAGGAGAAGGAGGAAAAGGATGAGGAGGAAGATGAGGAGGCGGAGGAAGAGAAATTTTTGGGAGGATGCCTCGAGCGAAACGCTGATGTTTCAACGAAATTGTTTAAGCCACATGGGTGTTTCAATAGTTTCGCTTCTTGGGCCATATTCGGGGTCATCCGAAATCGTTCCGAAAAGATGCCTTACAAGAGCTCAGTCGGTATCCCGTGTTTTCGAGGATGTCTCGGGAGAGACGTTCATTTTCGAGGATCCGAAACTTGAGCGAACGATTTCGAGATCCCGATGTTTGGAGGATGTCCCAAACGAAACGCCCAGGTTTAGCAACATACGTTTTGAAATACGACCGTCAACTTCACGATTCGGGGAGGATGTCTCGAGCGAAACGTTCGTTTTTGAAACCTTTCCTGACATGAGCGGGAAGCGCGTGAAAGGGAAGAGTTACGCAAGAACTTGCAGCATCATCGCGATCAAATGAAGTATAGGCGAGCTCTCCGAACGCTCACAAGAGATACGTATGGACACGCGCCCCCGGAACGTTCACACGCATATTCCTGAGGATCCTCACCACTCCTCCGCATGAGGAAGACGACGGCGAAGACGACGACCAGGGAAGACGGGAGAGGAGGGGGAGGAGGAGGAGGGGGAGGGGGGGGGGAGGAGGAGGGGAGGAGGAGGAGGAGGAGGGGAGGAGGAAGAGGAGGAGGAGGAGGAAAAGGAGGAGGAGGAGGAGAAGGAGCAACATCAGCAGCAACAGCAGAAGAAGAGGTGAGGAGGAGGAGGGGGAGGAGGACGAGGAAGAGGAGGAAGAGGCGCAGGAGGAGGAGGAAAAGGAGGAGGAACAGGAGGAGGAGGAGGAGTTGGAGGAGAAAGAGGAGGAAGAGGAAGAGGAGAAGACCGAGGAGGGGGAGGAGGAGGAGGAGGAGGAGAAAAAAGGAAAACTATTATGATCTGGGGTGCCTCTACAGAAGCCAACATAGCGTTTTGAATAAAGTACTCTGCAAGTCGTCTGCGCGCGTCCCCGCGGGTCGTCCGCAAAGTACGCTGCAAAGTAGTCCGCGACATACCCTGCGCTAAAACATGTCGTCCGCGACGTACTCTGCAATTCCAGGCGTCGCCCCGCAAAAGCGGGGGGGCGACTTTCGCGCGATGACGGTGCGCGACAGAGCACGCACCTACCAGGCTCGATTACACGAGCGTCTACACCAACGAGGGGCACCTGGAGTGAGCCGTCTTTCAGCCCAACCCGAAGCAAACCAGAAGGGAGCGCAACGAAAACGACCGTCGGTCGCAGTATTTCTGCCCATTGGGCCATTCGGCCGATGTCCGCAGGGGCAGCGAAACGCGTGACGCGAGAAACAGCATGCATGCGGGGCCCAGGCCGCCGCTACGGCTTGCGATGGAAACCATCGCGGGGCTACGTCGAAACGCACGGAGGTCGCGCCGCAGTTGACGCGGTTGGAGTTTGAGCCACACCGCAGACTGGTTCGAACCAAAATGGCTACTGATCTCCTCGGCCTTCTCCTTCCACTCATTGCCCCCCTCCTCCCTCCTCCCTCCCTCCTCCTCCATTGTCCCTCGTCCCCCTTCCCACCATCACCCCTCGTCCCACGCCATCGTTCCTGCCCTCGTCATCCTCATCCTCCCCATCGCCATCCTCCCACTCCTCTCCTTATCCTCATCGTCGTCAGTCCCTTTCCCCTCTGGCCCCTTCTCCTCTGGGCTGCGGCGCCTGGGGGCTTTTCGTTCTCGCCGAAAGTCGCCCTCGTCGCGATCTGCGCGAGTGTTCCAGCGCGCAACGGCTGGGTGCACCATGCATCTTGGCGGGGACTCCTGGCCTATAGTGTGATAGCATATGTATGATCGTGCATGCGTGTCGGCGTGCGTTTGTTCGTGCAGTATGCTTGCATGTGTTCACCCATGCGCGTGGGTGTCTGGAAGCGCCAATCGTCCCCGCTGGCAGCACGCATATTGAAAGCAGTGGTTCCTGGTCCTCCTCATCTTTGGGATCCCTCCTCCTCCTCCTCCTCCTCCTCCTCCTCCATCCCTGCTCCCTCCTCCTCCCTCCTCCTCCCCCTCCTCCTCCTCCAGATGTCCTCCTCCCTCCTCCTCCTCCTCATCATCATCCTCCTCCACGTCCTCTTCCTCCTCCTCCTAACCCCCCTCCTTCCTCTTCCTCCTTCTCCTCCTCCCCCCTCCTAGCCGCAGTCCTCAGACATGCGGGGCTGCCAACGCTGGCCTCAAGCGTGCCTAGCCCTTGATGGTCTGCTGCTTGAGGCCCTGGGACACCGCCTTCGCCAGCCTCTCGGGGAACTCCGCAACCTTCAGCTTGCGGTTGACCATGTAGTTCTGCGTTGTGTCTTTGAGCGTCGTGCGCAACACGACTTTGTCGGTGACCGTGGCGATCGCGTTCATGACGCGGTGGGCAGCCACAGTGAGCTGGCACTCCTTCATGACCTCCTCGCGGTCCACCGCGTAGGCATCCTTGAACTCGGGCATGTACTCAGTGAACAGGGTCGCGACAGCCGCTGACACACGCTCGATGTCCTCGAGGCTCTTCTCCAACCTCTCGAGGTTCACCTGCAGCAGAGTGCCCTTGCAATGGGTCACGAACGCTTCCCACGGCTCGGAATCGGGGGGGATGCCCACTTGCCAGCTCCTGCCGTCGCCGTCGGGGTGCCCGCCCTTGAACGTCCTGACGGTGTCCATCTGCTCCTGAACCCCGTCAAGCAGCAACTTCACTTTCTGCGTCCCGATCTCCGGCATGAGCTGGGACAACTCGGTGTCCAGGTTCTCGACGAGCACGTTCTCATCCCAAGTCTCACTGCACGCCTTCACCAAGTTCACGGCCTTAGCCAGGGACTCGTCCGCGCGGAGGGCGCGACGGCTCTTGGACATGTCCTTGTCGTTCTTGACGCGCTCGACTACATCACCCCCTGAAGCCTTGACAGCAGTGAGAGCCATGAGCGCGGTCTTGGTTGTCTTGTACAGGTGATTCTGCTTCGTGTGGAACCTCCTGGTTGGTTCGTCGGCCACCGTAGAGGCGAGGTGGCCCGTCCACGTCAGGAGGGCGTCAATCTGGGACGACTTCTCATCGGCGTCGGTGCGACCCATCGCCACCCAGACCATCTTCAGCATCTCGAGCCTGGCATTAGCCAGCTGCGCAGCGATCTCATCGGTGAACTCCACGTCGTGCCTCCAGGTCCAAGCACGAAGGCTGGTGAGCTTCTCGGCGAGGTCCTTGGGCTCCAGCTTGTCCCACACGAGGTCGACGAGCTTCACCAAACTGGTCGAGTAATCGTTCTTGCCAGACTCGTGGAGCTTCAAACCGACGGCCTCGGTCCAAGCGTCCATCTTCGACTCCAAGGGGAAGACGTGGCTCCCTTTGCTGATGACTCTTTGGAGCTCGGCCAGCTGGTCGGCAGTGAACGGAGCGACAGTATTCTCATTGAGCGCGTCGTTGACGAGCCCTTCGAGCAGCTCCAGGACCTTCTTGGGCAAGCCAATCAAGCACTCATGGGGCAAGGACTGCTGGTGCGTCTCACACCCGACCAGGGCCGCGCTGATAGAGTGCAGGCGATCTTCGGGAATCGACGAGGTAGACTTGATCGCAACAGACACGACCTCCTGGATCTCGCGGCCGTTCGCGATGATGGCACCCTTTGCGTCGGCCAGCTTTGCAAATAGAGGACCCAAGTATTCATTTCCGACAATCGAGTTGCCGATGTTGACCATCCTATTGCCCTCCCCCTGGGTTGTCGAATCGCACAGGTCAGAAACCGCCTCGTAGCCGTCGAAGTCCCCGTCCGATCCCAAGTCGGGGCACATAAAGCAGACTAGCGCCTTGAGGCACGTGCTGACGTTCAGTGCCAGCGTGAGGAACTCCTCCTCGATGTCCCCGTCCTCTGGAATATCCAACGCTTTCAAGCCGGCCTGGCACGCGCGGTGCAGGGTAATGAACTTCTCATCCGAGGCCTTGGTTGTGCCATTAATCAAAGGGACGACGACTCCCTGCATGATAGCCCTGTTGAAAATATCGACCAAGTCGCTGGGCTCGAAAACATTCGTTAAGACAAACATCTTCGGCTCACGCACCACAATGGACTTGTGTGCCTGCTCGGGTCCGAACGGCACCACGGCTGCCCACAACCTCTCGACGTCTTCATTGCGACCATTGAGCAGGATACTCTGCGCAAGCTTGTCGGTGTAGCGTTGGAGCAGGCCCAGAAGAGTCGCGCGCGGCAGTGGCTGCTTAATCTTCTCCATGGCCCTCAACGCCTCCATGAGCGCACCGTCATCGCAAGTCGCGGCAGTTTTCTGGTTCAGGTTCGTTGCGCGCTCGACGTTCTTCAGGTGAGCCTTCAGTTTGAGCAGGTCCTTGTCTCGGTTCGATTGCATCTTCGCCGGCTCCCGAGACACTGCTGACGCAGCCTGACGGACATGCCGCCGATCCTGCTTTTAGCACTTCAGAATCTTTGTCAAGGGCAGCTTCTCCAACCAGTAACCGCAAGATCTGCCCTCGCCTCTCTTCAACCTGGCATGCACCCCCGTGGTGGTGCCCTTGCTCATCTCGCTATCGGCCTTGCTCGCTGCGTCGTCATCGCCCCCGCCCTTCGAGAGAGCGTCGTCCATGTCGATGTCCATCATGCTCACTGAGTTCAACTTCTTGTTGCCACCAAGGTCCACCACGATGACCATGTCGACCTTCGGGGAGCCCGCGGGGCCCTTGCCGCCCGAGGCGCCCGTAGTCGGGCTCGGAGGCATCTCTGAGGGCCCAGAGCGATTCGTCCTGGCGGCACGAGGGCTGCTGAGGCCACTGGCTCTCTGAGCCCTGCCATCCTGACGGGGGCCGTCGCCGTTGCTGCTGCCGTCCTCGTCGTCGGACCCGGCGGTATCAACCTCAGCAGCGCTCAGCTTTCGCCTCTTCAGAGATTTCTGGCCAATCGCTAGGGGTAGCTCCTCTTTCAGCCGCGGCGCCTTACCAGTCAAGAAGTTCGAGAGGATCGACGTCTAGCGCCCGAGCTGCTTGAACGCATGCTGCACTGCCTCAGGCCCAATGTCCATGACCTGACCGTTCCTGTCGGCTGAGAACTCCGCTGAGTCGACAGAAGTCGTGGCAAACACCTTGACGTCCAAATATTTGCTCTTGCCGTTCAAGAACAAGTAGCCTCGCTGACTTTCGCCAGTGGGTAGATCCAACGGGATGAGTCCATCCATCTTGGCTTGCTTTGGGGTCTGATTCAACTCATCCTTCACTTGCGCCTCCGTGAGGAAGCTGCCATGACGAGCAAGCTCGATGCCAAACTTCTGCGCGTTTGCCACGTCCTGCTTCAAGAAGACAGAGTAGTATATCTGGAGCTTGCTGGGGTTCCTGACCGCAGCTTTGACCCTGCGTTTGAAGTCCTCGTCTTTGGTGTACTTCTCGCAGAACTCGGACCACGTCATGCATAGAGATAGAGGCACCCAGATGCCGTAGCATTCTCCGCATTGGTTGGGCCCTGCAAGGGGCATATTCAGGTCCGTCGCAAACTCTTTCTCCTTGTCGTTACCCTTGCACCTCAAGCAGATCAGAACCTAAGCGCCACTAACACCAACACCACCTCGATTGCGACCCTTTGGAGAGCCGACTGGAGCCGTCTTCTTCCCTGCGGCAGGACATCCAACATCCATATCGCCGCTGCCATCGTCGGGGATGTCTGCAGAGCCTCGAGCGCTAGACTTTGTCGATAGTCGCCTCCCTATTTTCCCCATGCATACAAGATGTAGAAATACTCGCACTGGGATATGGAAGCCCAGCCAAGGGCCAAACACCTCGTTGCTGATCGAGCCAAAGAGGCTGTGCCACAAAGACGACTGTTCAAGCGCGCCTTGCGCAAAGATCAGGAGCCCCCTCCCCCCTCCTCAAAAAAAACCCTGCTCCTCTTCACATCGCTCCTTCTCCCCCGAGGCCCCAAGCGGCCAACCATTGGGAAAGTTCTAAAGGCCCGATGGCTCCAAGCGCCAGCTGAAAACCGCGCGGGGGAGGGAGAGGGCGGGGGGGTTGAGGGGGGGGGGGGGGGGGGGGGGCTGGGGGGGCCCCGGGATCTCATGGAGAGAAGCACGGCGGGTTCGGGCCTTCGCGAAATCCTGAAGGGGGGAGGGGGGGCATCCCCTCGCGGCGCGAGCCGCGGATTGCGACGCGCTGACCCCCTTTGCCCCCCCCCCCCCCACCCCCCCCTCCGCCAGCCAACGTCGCTGGCCGCCCCCTGAGGGGCGGGGGGCGAGGGCGAAGGGAATGGATAGGAGGGGGGGGAGAAGGAGGAGGAGGAGGAGGAGAAGGAAGAGGGAGGAGGAGGAGGAAGAGGAGACAGACACCGAACACTCAGGCCCCGACCTCGGCAAATTTGGCACGGATGAGAACTTGCCGAGTACCTTGACTGTCGCGATGCATCTACGCTTGCGAAGCGCTGGCCCCATCCAGAACCACTTAGAGGACCCCAACAGAAACCAATGTGGGACCTCATGTGACTTGCTAGCGCTTCCAATGTGTTTATGATAGGAGAAATAGATTGGAGCAGGCTGGATCCAGGGCCCCAATCCGCACAGGCGCACGGCAATGCACAGGGGCTTGCGGCAAGTCCCGATGCCCTGCGGGCCCACTGGGCGCCTCGCGAGCTCCCCATTTGAGGGCTTCTTACACTTCGCATTGAATTCAAAGGCCCAGAGGTCGAAAGCGCCATCCTGATCCCGTTGCTCGCGCGTTTCCAACAAATGGAATCGATTGGCCAATGTGGGCGATCATGAGTGCGCGCAGGCGACACAATGATGGGGAGGGCAGAGCACACGGGCGGGTGATTTAGAGGGAGGGGAATAAATCCGCTCTGGAAGCCCAAGAATAGTTCGGGCCCGCAGGGCCGTAATCTGTTCCGGAAACCCAAGAATGATTTTATTGGGGTAGTTGATAATTTCAGGGTCACGGTTTGCGCAGCTGGCCTCTGGATATACTTCATATACGGATGATGGTCTGAACCGCTATAGCGTAACATGTTCACCAGGAGGGTCTCTCGGGCCTTTACTTGGCTCTGTTGATGGGGGAGGGGCCTTGGGGAATTATTGAAGGACGTTGGGCCAGCGTCTGCCCCCTGCCCGTGCCTGGGGCGCGCGCTCGTTGCGCGCCGACTGGACATCGCTTGCATGGGAGTGTGTTCTGCGTGCGCTCACCTTGCATGTATGTACCTAGTGATCGAGGGTTTGATCGTCAAACGCTTGCTTATCTAGCGTCACTGTGCCTTTGCGTGGGCAAATCGTGTCAGCATGCATGTCGAGCGCAACGGTGCGTGCCTTTAGCACGCGCAAATTAGTTGTATGCCAACAGTGTTATCTCAAAGACCTGCCCCTGGCATATAGCATATAGCAGCACAACGGCGACTGCGCAATCCCCGAGCGCAGCAGCATTTGCAACAGTGAGAGCGCACTGAAGAGACCTGCCGCACCTGCCGACTGAAATGCTACTCGAATTGCTGAAAGTAGAAAGGCGGAGTGGACGATCCGATCAGGGGCGGAGGGGGGGGGAGGAGGAGGAGTAGGAGGAGGAGGGGGCGGAGGAGCAGGAGGAGGTTGAGGGCGGGAGACAGCTAGCCAGGCTGCAGACTAGATTGGCCGCGCCGCGGCCCTAAAAGTAGCATGCGCAGAGGTGTTCTCGGCGAACCCTCGGCCAAAAATTCTATGCGCAGAATTGTTTCGGGGACCGCCCTGGATGCAGAGTACTGTTCAGAGTACGTGCCCCGCCCCCGCCCTGCGCAGAGTACATTGCAGAGCACTTTGCAGAGGACTTGTTCCACCCCCTCCTGGCGCAGAGTACTTTGCAGAGGACTTTTTCCTGAGAGAAGTCGTCTGCAAAGTCCTCTGCAAAGTCCTCTGCGCCAGGAGGGGGCTGGAAAAGTACTCTGCAGAGTACTCTGCGCTCGGGGGGGGGGGGGGGGGGGGGAGGGGGAGGGTGCCTCCTGCACGGTATGGTCGGTTGGGGTGAGGGGGTGGGGGGGGGGGGGGGGGGGGGGGCGCGCGCGCAGAGTACTTTGGCCAAGGCGGCGCCGAACCAGTACTCTGCAGGGCGAGTTCTCGGGAGGGCTGTCGTGGAAGTACTCTGCGCGGAGTTCCCCCGCGCCGAGGCCCCCTCGGAAGAAGTCTGCAACGCCGCCGCTCTGGCAGCACTCGCGCCAGAGGTGCGGCGGTCCGCGCAGGCAGGGCGGATCCAGCATGCGAGAGATGAGTAGAATGGGAGTGCAGACAACATCGAATCAGCCCCTTTAAGATCGACCCCCCCCCCCCCCCCCCAGGGCGCGTCGGTGGCAGGGGCAGCGGGGTCAGAGGGCGTCGAGGTGCCTGGAACGGGGCTGGGGTTTTTGAAACGGCGGTTGGGAAGCACGGCTGAAGAGGGGAACGCGATGATATTGTGTATATCATTGACATCTTCTGTGTAGCATCCCTCTCTCATCTTGCCTACCTCCTTTGAGCTTCCATCTCACCTCGCCTCGCCCTCCCCCGTCCTCCTCGCACTAGTATGTTCTCAAGCTTCGCTAGCTCCCCCCATGTTGGCCGTGCAAAGGCGGGGCGCCCCCGCGCTTGCCCCCGCTGCCCCTCGCCAATCCCGCAATCGTGTGTGGGGGGGGGGGGGGGGGGGGGGGGGGCGGGAGGCAAGATTGAAAGGCTGACACGAATAAGGGAGAGAGGTCACGCACTTCTAATTTACGCGTTACTGCACAGAAACGAAAAATCAACCTACAACCCCGCGGCAGGATACCCACGCCGCTCCACCTCCATAATTTCAACTACATTGGGGTCAGTGCTCGCATTCAGTTCACCTCGGGCCCTTAGGATCTCATCCGCTGTCGGATCGTTAGCTGGGGCCCAATGAAGCGGCTTCGTGTCCACGTGACCTTTCTTGAGCCACGCTGCCAACCAGGCGACAGGTGGGTGGGGCGCCTTGGCGCTGAACTCAATGACGCGGGCCCTCGTGCACTTGCCATGGTGAGGATTCGTGCATGTGGCTTCAAACCTGCGGCACTTTGTGTAGAGAGCTATCTTCCCACCGTCTAGATATGCAACAGCGTCTGCGCGACCACGAGGGCCACGATCTATTGGCGGAGGTGGAGCTCCTGCCAGAGGGTGGTCTGCGCCAGGGCCGTCAGCTGCCCCAGCCGCCGCCGCTCCTCCCAGGGGGGCGCCTGCGCCCCCTGCATCGGCGGGGGCGTCGACGTCGCCTGCGTCGCCTGCGAACAAGTCCCCGTGGCCGCCCTCGTGGTCGCAGTCGGATTCGCCGTCGACGTCATCAGCCTCGACTGGCTCGGGGCCAGCCTCATGGGCTGGATCATCTGACTTGTCATCAAGAAGCTCCGCGTGCATGATTTCCTCCTAAATGG